CTCGCAACTTCTCTAACTTTTTCTCTGAATTGTGAGTTTAGCCTATAGCTTGCAATTCTCACTTTCTGTTTTACAATTCTGACTTTAGTTCTCACAGTTTTGGTTTTATATCTCACAATTTTGATAGTTACCCAGTTGGCAATTGATGATGAAAAGACGTCAAAATTGACAAAAAAACAGGTCAAATATGTTAAATCAAACTGATGTCAAAAACTTGATTTGATGTCAATTGAACGTCAAACATATTGGCCTACATAAACATTAAAACAATTTCAGTTTGGGAATAACGTCCTATTTTCACCTAATTATCACTGGAAGAAATTACCATCCAAACTGAATTTAAAATGATGTGACAGCATCTTAATCAAGTCTTGAATAATATTTGATGTCAAACTGATCTCAAGGTGCCTGCTGGGCAATGCCCCACATTTCTGATTTTATTTCTTCAAGTTCTCAAAATCTCAAAATTCTGACTTTTTCTCAGATTTGTTAATTTACATCTCACATAATTGTGATATGCTAATTTAAAATTGTTAGATATAAACTTGACATTCTGAGGAAGTCAATTGTGAGGCAATTATCTTCTTTTTTTTTAATTATGAGGCAGAAATGTTTCCAGCCTGCAACACTGTTTATTTTACTGTTTATTTAAACTTATTCTTATTTCAGTGATATCTTTGAGGCAACAGGATCTTTTCTGCATACCTTTCCATAAAAAAATCACTTACAGAACATTACCAACACATTATGCTTAAGATACACAATACAGCTTGAACGTGCAGCATCTTTACTGACAGCAATGTCTGCTCTAAACATTGGGAAAAGGAAACATTAAGACCTTCCTAGGAAACCTAGGAAATCCCTCAGATATGGTGGATCAGGCCAATCACTGCTATTCGTCACTTTACACTTACATGACTAGAGGTCGGTACAGTGAAGGTCAGCATAGAGTCAAGAACACTATGAATGTGTCCTGCTGTGCTGAGGTGGAACTATATGCAAACATCCTTCCTATTAATGCATTTGCTGCCATTACCATTTAGGGCTGATAGCAGCCTAGTAGTTCCTGCTTAGGGGGTTCTCACATTAATTTAGCAGATTTTTCCTGGAAGGAGTCCCATTGTAAATGAGCAGTCAGCTTGCAAGACTGGCCATGCAATTGCTTTACTGGAAGTCACACAACCTGGCAACCTACAGGTCTGCAGCTCATTACCACAAGTGAATTCCAGTCACCTCCCAGTCAAATTGACATATAAATTGACGTCTCACATGACGTCAAAAACAGGTCAAATATGCTGATCAAACTGATGTCAAAAATTGAACATGACGTTGATTTGAGGTTAATTGAACATCAAACATATTGACCTACATATACATTAAACAGATTTCAGTGTGGGATTAACTTCCTATTTTCACCCAATTACCACTGGAAGAAACTGCTGACCAAACTGAATTCAATATGAAGTTACTGCATCTTGATCAAGTCTTAATATTTGATGTCAAATCGATATTAAGGTAAGAATTGAGTAACGAAAACATACTTTGCTCATAATGACACCAGTCAATCTGGTGCATAAAAATATATAGGCTATCCCTGAAATGTTCCAGGTATTTGCCTCAAAATATTTTCAGAAGCCTATAGTCCTTCTCCTCTCAGCTGTTTAAATGGGAAATTCGTTTGTTTATTTATAGAATTTTTAAACAACCATTATTAGGTGTCTCTAGAATGAAAATGATTGATCTAACCATTTCTGTAAGGCACAATCAATATTAGCATATTTGAGGATATTTAATATTGAATCACTGAACGAGATTATGTTTGGTCAAGGACTAGACTTCGACTACGTCAATGAAGCATCTTTATGAAGTACTGAGGCTATTGCAAGACATATTCTAAGCTAGAACATGGAAAATACTATTATTCACCAACCACGCTGTATCTGGAAGGCACCGCAATAAACACCTAAATATGATGAAATGTTAGAGAAACTAATACAGACAAAGTCATCCCACATTCAGCTCACCTGATGAGCTGTGCACATCACTTTATCCAGGAAGGATATGCTTGTTTGTAAAAAGTGAACCAAACTGAAAAAAATAAAATATTCAGCAATAAGTTGAATAAGATCGGTTTTTATCATATGCGCTGTTGCTTTGTTTCTCAGTGTTCTGTACTGAGTATCTTGTCACGTCTTCTAATTAAAATCCCCTTCTTCTTAAAATTAAGCTTTTTAAAATCTCCTCTGAATACATGTTTTTTAATCTTTTTAAACCATGAAATCACAGCTTATTGGACTCAAAATAGTGGGTGAATCAGAGAATATCCCCAATAGTCCTGCAAGTGACATTGATTTTAAAGCACTTTGGTGGCATTGAAGGCACTTGTTGTTTTCATTCTCTGATAGGTGTTTATTGATTATTGCACGCCTTCATGTCAATGGTCTAAAATAGAAACGGACATACCGACACACATGCACACACACGCACATGTGTATATACACACAAACATACAGAAAAGGAACACAAATGAGACAGAAATCATCCATCTCTCAACAATCTTTAACTGATGTCTCTATTTCAGGTTGTCAGACGTGACACTGAACATTAGGTCAGAAGTCACATCCAGTGGGGAGCTTGTTATGAAAAACTGACTCAATGTGAGCAGCGCTCATCCTGACAGATTGTTTCTTACCATTTTCCCTATAGCTGCTTTAAGCATCAACAGTTACTTTATTCCCTCAGAAAGAGAACATATTTATACAGATATGAAAAATGCACCCACACAATCAATAATATATATATATGTATATATATATACATATATAAATACATACATATATAGCAAGAGAGAGATAGAGAGAGAAAAAAGATGGATAGATAGAATTTGTTGTCAATTTAACAGTAATTCATCAGAGGGCCAAGTCTTGACCTTTACTAAATTCAAAGACATTACTCACAAGCCCAGTGACAGGGCACCAATATTCAGGAGACGTCTGTCTTTGTATTCGATAAACCACACTTACTGAGTGGATTTGGATGGAATAGCATTCAAACACTCCTAATGCTCTATGACAGCTGATTTGGATGATAAAAAGCTGCCTCTTGGTGAGTTCAATTTTGACAAGGATATAAGTGGTGTTATAAATCAAAGTCTGTTGCAGCCCCCTGACATAACTCTCACAAGCAGGTGTGCAGTTCAAATGCCTCCCGAGTCACACCTCGGGAATAAACTAAAAGTGATATTTAAACGATTTGCACAAAATTCATGTGGAAGTATGCAGCTATTGTTCATTCATTTAGGTTAGGTTATATAAAGTTAACAGCCTGCACATACTAGTCTCTTGAACTGTTGCTGAGGTGGGAACAATTGTTGCAAGTAAAGACATAGTATGTGCAGTCAATAAAAAACCTACATAATAGTAACAGAGAGTACAAAAACAACTACAGCAATATATTGTATGATATAAAATGAAATAGATAAAGCAATAAAACAACAAATGAAATGACAAAATAATGAGTAAAAAGGCTATAGCAAGTAAAATTTGTATTATGATACCTCCAAAAAAAAAAAAAAAAAAGGAGAAGTAGAAGTAGAAGCAAATGAAAATGTACTCACATTGCTAAGCATCGCAGGACGTGGTTTATGGTGAACGATCTAATGCAAGAGCTGTGTAGACTGCTGTAGAATTACTCAGCGCGCTCTCCGCCCCCACGCGGAGTCATGCTCTGTTTGGGGCAGCAGCCATGCTGTTTGCATTACCGAGCATCTTAAATCTTGACCTTAGGGATATTTTAGTCCCTAGTCATGTCAGTGCTCAACAAATAGGGTACTAAAATAAATCAGTTTATGTAATATTGACAGTAGGCTACGCTGCATTAAAACTGGAACATGGACTGCCAGTTCGAATAA